ATGCTGAGTATGAAAGATGATGGTGATGAGATCTTGAGAATACGACATGCATGTTGTTATTACGACCATTCCTAAACGGTTGTCGCCATGAACCACCACGAGGAACACGAGATCCACCTTGCTGTGTATGCCATACACAGCGTCAAGATCCATAGGATCATCTTGATTACGATTGGTTCCACCAGCTATTGTCGAACGTTGTGCAAGGGGTGTATCCACACGCATACCACGAGCAATGTTGGCTGCTGACTAAAAACGCTCCGCTGCGTTATATGCATCCTTTAGAGTGACCAGATCCTGTAGTAGTACTTGCATTCTAGCATCATCATTTAAACCTTGAACAAAGCGGTAGATGGCATCAGCTGGATCCATACTTGGCAACCCAAGCATGTGTTTACGAAAGCTGGCGACATAGGCTCGAATGCTGCCTTCGGTTTGTTGTGAGATACGATCCAAGGCTTCTTGTGCCAGTTGTTCAGAATTATTCGGCTTAAATTCTTCACGGAATGCAACACAAAACTCGTACCAGGTAGATGGCTCATAAGTGTCTGGATCATTTTGTATCTGGTGCCACCATTTAGAAGCTTCATCTCGTAGCAACGTCGGTGCAAAACGAATTTTTGTGGTCTCAAGCATGTTGTTGTTTTTTAAACGGCAATAGTTGTCAAAAGCATGCAGCCATCCCTCGACTGCTTGAGCTGTGCGGTCACCACGATAAACCTCAGGTGGCACCAACCTAATACCTTCCAAGTTCATCTGAGGGTCGCGAGTGTGTGCCATGAGACGAAGTTTGCTGTTGTTGTAAAAGCTGTTGTAAAGACTGCATGATGACATGGAGCGCCATATTATCAGTGACGATGGGTGGTGTGGTTGCAGAGTTGGTTGTTTGCTCCTCGTTTGGATGATCTGGTGGATCCATGTTTGAAAGATAGTGATCTTCAGAAGATGATTGTCCAATGGCGCTTAAGAAACGTTGTCGTAAGGTGGCCGCTTGTTGTCGAATGCTGATTCTACTAGCGGGGCCGTAAGAGGAATGTTGATCTTCTGGAATGAATATGGTCTCGGTATGTTGACGAAAACGTCGCTGCTGTTCTCTAGTTAACCCTGCAAGTATCTCTTCTTGAATGGCAAATTGGCGTTGTTGTTGTTGCGAATACAAAGAGCTCATCAGCTACCAGTGTCGTAAGAGGGACGCGACTATACAAAGCCAAAAGCAATAGCCCGTATCGAATAATGTGAATACAACGTGTGGTCCTTTATTTTGTGTTGTGGTGATATTTATATGTGTATGGGATAAGGTTATGAGTACAAAAGATATTGGATATACATGTGGGGCGTACAAGTCTATGATGTTGTAGCCATTGTAGTGAAGGATGATAGCCCGCATGTGATGCAGCAGCCAGGAATGAAAAGATCGGCTTCCGAGACCTCACCCCAACATCCCACAAGCCATGCATAAAATCAGTGTAACAATCTTTCCCCATAGTGCAGTGTTATCAAAGTATATATATATCCCCATATTGAGTAAAAAACCCAGTAGTGAGCATCTTCTTTTCTGAGTGCAGTCCTAGTGAGAGCTTTGCCTGTGAGTGTGCGTGTGTCTTTTCAAAAGATTGTGTGCTTAGAGCATCTCCAATGGTGGAGCTAAGTGCCAAATTGACTCCGATTTTACACGGTCTGATCCCCAATGGTGGAGTCAAGAGCAGAGTCAATTTACACGGCGAGTCAAAATTTCTGCTAAGCCGTGTAAAATAGACGGCGCCGACTAAACAGTGTAAATACCGCGTCACATCTTTTATGCTATCTCCTTTAACCATATCAACACTTTCTAAGCATTACGTTATCTTCTTTAACCATAATAATAAATGGTTATAACTCAATATATAATATATGCATTGTGTCTGTGAAGTGAACCTTGACTCTTAAACTTCTCTTTTATTATGTCTGGCAGCAACCCTGAATCTACTACTTACCCTTTCTCATCTCATCCTGAACCTACCCTTTCTCGATCATCGTCTTTGATGTCAATGGATAGCCCTTCACCTGCTGAAAATGATCCATCATCTTCTGCCTCATCAAGATCAAGATTTAGAGGAAGAGGTTAGACCTGGTCACTTAACGAGGGAGTCTCTTTATGTCAAGCCTGGGTCCATATTTCCGAAAATCCTGCCATTGGTACCGGCCAAAACAGAACTGGCTTTTGGAAGTCTGTTCATGACCATTGGCGCTCGATTGTTGATAATCGTAGTCCTGTACGTTCGATTGAATCATTGGAAGCACGGTGGAAAGTTATCCAGTACGAAGTCTCAAAGTTTATCGGCTTCGTTGAGGCGGCTAAAGGTCGCAGTGGATGCAATGGGGCTGATGAGGTATTACAAACAATGCTGATCCAATGATGATACTTATTATTCGCAATTATAGATCAATGCTGCCCGTCAACTATTCCGTGAGAGCACAGCAGCAGCTGGAAAACCAGGAAAGGAGTTTCAGTTCATGCATTGCTATGAGTATCTCAAAGAATGCCAGAAGTTCAGCACTCGATATATACAAAAAACGCAGCCAGCAGTTGTCGAGTCGGTCGCAGATGAAGTGAGGCCAATGGGAAACAAGAAGGCAAAGGCCAAGCAAGCTGAAGAGCATGCCAACAAAAGAAAGGCCGACGAGTTGCTCGAAGTGCAACAGGAACTTTCAAAAATTGCACGCCAAAAGCTTGAAGTCGCCCAAGAAGCATGCGAGCTTGAGATTATGTCAAAAGATACCTCGACCATGAATCCTATCGCCAAGCAGTATTTTATGATGCGCCAACAGCAAGTCTTGGACGCATATATGAAGAAGCAAGTACAGTCTCAGTCCGTATCGAATGGTGATGGTGATGCTGGGTTCGATACACAATAGTCGAAGAGCTAGATAGTAGCTATAAGGTGTGATAAAGTGATTTAAAAAAACAATGTACCTCAATCGTTTAAACGTTGTTATTGGCATAGCATTGCCAAAGATGCTCGATTAAATCATGTCTCAGCTGTAAATGGGCACTTCGATCCTTGATTTCTTCCCACCGTCTACTATACTCTCCAAGGGTAACCGGATTTCTATCGATCGAAAGCAGTGGTACATGATCTTCTTCCAGATCTTCAACAGGTTCAGCACGTTCATCTTCAATAATCATGTTATGGAGGATGATGCATCCTCGCATAACATTGATCACGTCTCGATGCTTTGAAAGCCGTGCTGGATTGCGAACGATGAGAAATTGTTTTTGGAGCACTCCAAAAGCACGCTCCACATCCTTGCGAGCACCTTCTTGCATCTTGTTGTAGTGCTATGTACATAAGTTTCCAATCATTGATCAGGCTGATGGTATAGATAAACGTATGCCACGTAGACTTATCTCTTGCTTTCTACCAGCTGGACTACTAAAACTTTTCATCATGGTGGCCCAATCAGGGTAAATTCCATCAGCAAGATAGTAGCCCATATGGTATTCGTGGCCATTGATGGTATACGTTGCCGAAGGTGCGTTGCCTAATGCAATGTTGTTAAAAGATCGGGTATTAGAAGCATTAAATGATTGATGGTTTTCACCTGAAGCAATGTTGTTGAAGAGATTTGATCTATGAAGGATGTTGAGATCGTTCAAAGATCCTGGGTGGCCAATACTGGCATCCCAGATCCACAAGTCATAAGAAGCAACAGCTTCTAGAACTGTACTTGCATGCTTTGAGCGACCTGTGTAAGCACCATGCCAAGCAACAGGGCAATTGTCCCATTGCCAATGCATACAGTCAATGGAGCCAAACATTCCAGGAAATCCCCTTGCTGCATTTTCTGAGAGCAACCGTTGGACGTCATGTTGGTTGGGTTGTCGCAAGTATTTGTCACCGAAGATGGTATTTAAGTTTTCACAAAACTTGATCAATGACTCCAAAGCGGTGCTCTCTGCCACCCGAAGATACTCATCAGCAGTATCTGCACCAATACCGTATGCCAATTGACGCATGACAGCAGTAGCCCTCACCAAAGGGGACAAACCAGGCTTCATAGCAGCATCATAGCGCTGAGTGAAAAGTGTATCGACCTTTTTCATCTCTTCGACTATGTATAAGAATAACCGCTTGGACATTCTGAAGCGTCTACGAAAGTGCTGTTCGGTGTAAACAGGCTCGGGAGCAAAGTAATCTCGCACTAAGCACTCATGTGCAAACTGATGGTTCCGGTAGATATACCTTCTACCAGGATGTGATCCACCACGTACTGGAATCGTTTCAGAGTCGAGCAATTCATTGATATGGCGAATATGTTCAAGACGTTCGAGTTCCTCATCATCTTGATAGAGCAATTCAAGTATACGACGAGTAAACATAATAAGAAAGAGGAAGAGTGAAAAGAGTTGGCGTGTTGTACAAGGTTTGATTTATTTGATCAACTCAGATATAGAGCCTAACCATTGTGAAATTTGGCATTTTTATGGCCATCCTATGAGAGCACCGGAGGTTGTTACACCAAACTTAGCTCCCAACCATTGGAGATGCTCTTATAGTTTTATTGTATTTCCCTCTTAGCGATATCCTAGTTTTATATACATCTGTTCCCTCCATCGTATGCTATCGCATCTTCTTCTCAGTGTATCTTTTTACGTTTGAGTATTTTGAGACCCTTCGAGTATTCGTATTAGCAGCTATATACACAAGGGTACGTTTTAGTAGATAGATGACTTTGTATATGGACACCTCGACTCACATGGCAGGGTATTCAGATTTAGGCCTTGCCGCTGACTTCGTTCCGGTTACACTATTTCATGGTGGAATAGCCGTGTACCAGCCAAAACAGTGGATTTACCCAACAAACATCTATCAATACCAAGAGTACGCGATCCAACTACCATCTCATTCGTTTGTGCAACTGCGTGGTCCTACTTGGATACAAGGCATCTCCCATTTTCAACCAATGTACAACCCATTCCTATACCAAGCAATGCCACCCTCTCAGTCGTATACAATGCGGGGTACCCAATGCCAATGGTTCCACCCATGTGTTATTTCCCTGGGGAGAGCATTCACGAGGACCCAGTCATGTTTTTGGAAGAATTTCATCGCAGTGCTGTGGCAAGGAATTGCCTAACCGATGACCTTAAGCTACAGCTGCTGGACCACCAATTCAAGGGGGAGGCTTTAGACTGGTTCAGAAGGATGGATAAAAAGGACCTGATTTATGATGACGCCACCAAAGCATGTTTTGTACAGCTATTTTTGAGAAGATTCCTGCCAGAAGAGAGAAGGAACAAAATGCAGGAAGACTTCTACATGCGAGTGCAGGGAGAGAATGAGCCCGGTGAAGCATACATAGATGCAAAGATTCAGCTTTGGAGAAGGTTGCAACTTGATCAACAAGGTGTGACCAACCCGGAACTTAGTCAAATCCGTTGTGGGCTACGACCGCATAATGAATTTTTCCTCAAGCTTACGAAACCAAGGTCAATTGAAGAGCTGCGTGATACAGTGCGTCTCGCTGATCAGTGTCGTACCAATCCATCAGCTATGCCAAGCATCGTGCAACCCATGACCAATGTTGTGAATCCATCCCATCAAGAAGAGCCTCGTGTTCAAATAGTGCATAATACTCAACGCCAAGAGAGAAAATCGTTGGAAGCGAGAATGGATGTTGTATTCTGTAATTGTTTATGGATATGATACCTAGAAACATAGAATAGAGCTTTCCACTACACATTCGAACGTTCCTTAGAAGCACATGACATGTCAACAACAACAATAGAATAGTATAAATAAGCATCCATCAAGCAGCTAGAAACCAGCATCCATCATCTTTGATCTTTCATACATAAAGACATACACACGAGTCCTAAAGGATTTATCTTGTCTCTTCTCTTCTTTATTGAAACATCACAATGGATACGCTCATGCAGCAAATGGAAAAGTTGGCAATTATGCAACAAAAGGTGCTCGAGCAATCAGTGGATAAGCCAAGACTCCATCAAGATCGGGTGGGAGCTAGAAGCCAGTATGCTTCAATTGCCATAAGCAGGGACACTATACGGATCAATGTCGTAGCGAATGTGGAGGTTGTGGTACGTCTGGTCATGTGATTTCACATTGCGGCTCAAGCAAGGGTCAATCAAGCAACGTGTATAACCCAGCTACCCAACGTAATCTTGTCTCAGAAGCAATCAAAAGGAATGGTGATACAGGACCAGAGCAGCAGGATTTTCTGAAGGGCGATCATTAGCAGGTGTAGTCGCCCATGATGACACAAACCCTGTAAACCATATACAAGTGGTACATACAGTAGTTTGCAGTGAAAGTTGAACACGAAGAAAGAATTTTGGTAGATGAAGCTGTTTTTTTGGTGATCAAGAGATATATTGTTGGGCGTTGGCAAAGTAATGTTGGTGAACAAGCACTTTTATTTTGGAGGGTGACAAGATAATGTTGATGGGTGGTTGTGTTAAAGATGGTGGGTGGAGAAGTAATTTTGGTTGGCAGGTGTCGCAATGTTGGTGGGCCGGCAGAAGAACAATGGCGGCGTGTGAAATAAAGATGGTAGGTGGAGGAATAATTTTGATTGGCGGGCGCATAATGTTGGTGG